CCCCTGTCACCGAGTCCCCTGGGAATCCTTGAGTAAATCCTTGTGTGACACTCCCGTCCCCGAGCTGATCCAGATGTGACTCCTCCTGTGACCCCCTGTGCCAATCCCTGTGTGACACCCCTGTCACCGAGTCCATCCAGGTGTAAGATCCCCTGTGACCCCCTGTGCCAATCCCTGTGTGTGACACCATCCCTGAGTCGATCCAGATGTGACTCCTCCTGTGACCCCCTGTGCCAATCCCTGTGTGTGACACCCTTCCCTGAGTCCATCCAGATGTGATTCCTCCTGTGGATCCTCATCCAAATCCCTGTGTGTGACACCCCCGTCCCTGAGCCCATCCAGATGTGACTCCTCCTGTGGATCCTCGTCCAAATCCCTGTGTGACATCCCTGTCACCCCCTGTGTGACACCCCTGTCACCGAGTCCATCCAGGTGTAAGACCCCCTGTGACCCCCTGTGTATGAGACCCCCATCCCTGAGCTGATCCAGATGTGACTCCTCCTGTGACCCCTCGTGCCAATTCCTGTGTGTGACACCCTCGTCCCCGAGTCCATCCAGATGTGATTCCTCCTGGGATCCTCATCAAATCCCTGTGTGACACCCCTGTCACCGAGTCCATCCAGGCGTGAGTCCCCCCCGGAATCCTCGAGTAAATCCCTGTGTGACACCCCTGTCACCGAGTCCATCCAGGTGTAAGACCCCCTGTGACCCCCTGTGTGTGACACCATCCCTGAGCTGATCCAGATGTGATTCCTCCCGTGGATCCTCGTCCAAATCCCTGTGTGTGACACTCCCATCCCCGAGTCCATCCAGATGTGATTCCTCCTGTGGATCCTTGTGCAAATCCCTGTGTGTGACACTCCTGTCACTGAGTCCCCTGGGAATCCTCGAGTAAATCCCTGTGTGACACCCCTGTCACCCCCTGTGTGCCACCCCTGTCACCCTCTGTGTGACACCCCTGTCACCCCCTGTGTGACACCCCTGTCACCGACTCCATCCAGGTGTAAGACCCCCTGTGACCCCCTGTGCCAATCCCTGTGTGTGACACCATCCCTGAGCTGATCCAGATGTGATTCCCCCCAGGAATCCTTGAGTAAATCCCTGTGTGACACCCCTGTCACCCCCTGTGTGACACCCCTGTCACCGAGTCCATCCAGGCGTGAGTCCCTGGGAATCCTTGAGTAGATCCCTGTGTGACACCCCTGTCACCGAGTCCATCCAGGTGTAAGACCCCCTGTGACCCCCTGTGTGTGACACCCCCGTCCCCGAGCTGATCCAGTTGTGACTCCTCCTGTGACCCCAAATCCCTGTGTGACACCCCTGTCCCTGAGTCCATCCAGATGTGATTCCTCCTGGGGATCCTCGTGCCAATCCCTGTGTGACACCCCCACCCCCGAGCCAACCCAGATGTGATTCCTCCTGTGACCCCCCTGTGCCAATCCCCACCACCGAGCCCACCCAGGGGCGAGTCTTCAGGTGTCCTCACATCCCCCCACCCTGTGTCCCCACATCCCCCACCCTGTGACCCCACATTTTCATCCTGTAGACCCCACATCCTCTAGTCCCCCACCCTGTGCACCCCCACATCCCCACCCTGTGACCCCACACTTCATCCCCCACCCTGTGCCCTGCACATCCCCCCACCTGTGACCCCACACTCCCCCCACCCTGTGTCCCCACATCCCCCACCCTGTGACCCCCACATCCTCAGTACCCCAAGTGTCCCCCACATCCCCCACCCTGTGACCCCACAATTCTCCATCCCCACCCTGTGACTCCACATCCCCACCCTGTGTCCCCACATCCCCACCCTGTGACCCCACATTCTTCATCCCCCACCCTGTGACCCCACATTTTCATCCCCCACCCTGTGTCCCCACATCCCCCACCCTGTGACCCCACATTTTCATCCCCCACCCTGTGTCCCCACATCTCCCCCACCCTGTGTCCCCACATTTTCATCCCCCACCCTGTGACCTCACATTTCATCCCCACCCTGTGTCCCACACATCCCCACCCTGTCCCCCACCTCCACCCTGTGTCCCCACATGTTCATCCCCCACCCTGTGTCCCCACATCCCCACCCTGTGACCCCACATCCCACCCTCTGACCCCAAATCCCCACCCTGTGTCCCACATCCCCCATCCCTGGAGTCCTCACATCCTCCCACCCTGTGCCCCCAAAATCCCCACCCTGTGACCCCACATTTTCATCCCCCACCCTCTGACCCCACATTTTCATCCTGTGACCTCACATTTTCATCCCCCACCCTGTGTCCCCACATCCCCCCACCCTCTGACCCCACATCCCCACGGGAGCTGGGGAGACCCTGGGGAGTTGGGGGAGGGTCCCCAAAACCCATCCCCATCTACCCTGCCCGGAGCGTCCTCATCCCCTGTGTGCCCCCGTGTTCTCCCTCCCCTCCCCTGCTGACCTCCCTGACCCTGGGTCACCCCTTTGACCCCACATCCCCCAGTGACCCCCAGGCCAAGTAGGAGGGGGAGGGGCGACAGAACCCACCCTGGGGTCGCTCCCCCGACCCCCTCAATAAAACTCTGAAGCACCACGAGCCCCCCCAAACTCTTTGTTTGTTTGGTTGGTTTGGGGGAGGGTGAGGAGAGGCACGGAACACCCCCACAACCCCCCCAGGAAATGAGGGGGGTCCCCAAAACAAACACTCAGAGGGACCCTTCCCAGGAGCCGAGGTGTTTTTATCACGTCGCCACCGCTCTCCCCACACTGTTAAATAACCCCCACCCCCTCCCCACCCACCCAGGGGTGCATCCCCTCCCATCACGCTGAGGGCCCCTAGGGACCCTCCGGCCCCCCCTCGTCCTCCGCCTGCCGCAGCCGCTTCTTGGCCCGGATCTCGTTCATGGCCTCCTCGATGGAGCGCGTGTCCCGCTTGTTGGCCACCGGCACTGCGGGGAGGGCACAGGGGGTCGAGGCATCTACCAGACCCAGGACCCCACAGACCCCCACAGGAGGGCATCCACCAGGACCCCAGCACCCCCACAGACCCCCACAGGGAGCTCAGCTGTTGGGGGCCACCCCAACAGCTCCCCAAGGTGTCCAGGACACCCCCCCAACGCCTTCCTGGGTGTTGTGACCCCCCAAGACCCCCTCCCCAAGGACCCCCCACAAGACCCCTCCCCAAGGACCCCCCACACCTTCCTGGGTGTTGTGACCCCCCCAAACCCCCTCCCCAGAGGACCCCCCACAAGACCCCCTCCCAAGGACCCCCAACGCCTTCCTGGGTGTTGTGACCCCACCAAGACCCCCTCCCCAAGGACCCCCACACCTTCCTGGGTGTTGTGACCCCCAAGACCCCCACTCCCCAAGGACCCCCACACCTTCCTGGGTGTTGTGACCCCCAAGACCCCTACCCCCATAGGACCCCCCACACCTTCCTGGGTGTTGTGGCCCCACTAAGACCCCCTCCCCAAAGACCCCACACCTTCCTGGGTGTTGTGGCCCCCAAGACCCCCTCCCCAAGTGACACCCCTCACACCTTCCTGGGTGTTGTGGCCTCTCCAAGACCCCCTCCCCAAGGACCCCCCAAGACCCCCTCCCAGGACCCTCACGCCTTCCTGGGTGTTGTGACTCCCCAAGACCCCCTCCCCCAAGGACCCCCACGCCTTCCTGGGTGTTGTGGCCCCACCAAGACCCCCTCCCCTAGGGACCCCTCACGCCTTCCTGGGTGTTGTGGCCCCCCAAGACCCCTCCCAGCCCCCCCAAGGACCCCCCACACCTTCCTGGGTGTTGTGGCTCCACCAAGACCCCCTCCCCAAGGACCCCCAACCGCCTTCCTGGGTGTTGTGGCCCCCACCAAGCACCCCCCCCAAGCCCCCCACACCTTCCTGGGTGTTGTGGTCCCCCAAGACCCCTCCCCAAGGACCCCCTCACACCTTCCTGGGTGTTGTGGCCCCCACAGACCCCCTCCCTCAAGGACCCCCTCCCACGCCTTCCTGGGTGTTGTGGCCCCCAAGGACCCCCCAGACCCCACCTTCCTGGGTGTTGTGGCTCTCCCAAGACCCCCCTCCCCCAAGGACCCCCCACGCCTTCCTGGGTGTTGTGACCCCACCAAGAACCTCCCCAAGGACCCCCACGCCTTCCTGGGTGTTGTGGCCCCCAAGACCCCTCCCCAAGGACCTCCCCACACCTTCCTGGGTGTTGTGGCCCCACCAAGACCCCTCCCCAAGGACCCCCCAGACCCTCCCCAAGTGATCCCCCCAAGACCCCCTCCCAAAGACCCCCCCACACACCTTCCTGGGTGTTGTGACCCCCACCAAGAGCCTCCCACCCACCAAGGACCCCCTGCCTTCCTGGGTGTTGTGGCCCCCTCGAGACCCCCAAGGACCCCCTCCCCAACTCACCACACCCATAGGCCTTGTTGGCCTCCATGGTGCGGGCGGCGGCTTTGGCGGCGTCCGAGCCAATCAGGTGCCGGTATTTGTCCTTGTAATCGTTTGGGGGCCCCGGGGGGGCGGGGCCTCGCTCAAGCTCCGCCTCCTCCTGCTGCGCCGCCAACTCCTGGGGGGGGGGAGGGGCGTCAGCACAGAGCCCCTCCCCCCTCGTGACGACAAACTCCGCCCACTCCAGGTCAATAGGAGGGGCCTTGGGTGGGGCCCAACCTTCCTGCCACACCCACATAGGCCACGCCCCCAAAGTCAGCTCAGGCCACAACACCCCTCGGCCACGCCCTTTTAAGCCCCGCCTACCCGGAGGCGTCGCCGCTCCTCGGCCAGGGCGGGGTCCCACTCCTCCCCCCGCCGGTACGCGTCCAGCTCCTCGTCCGACGGCGCGAACTCCTGGGGACATCCAGGGTGTCACCACCCCCTGCCACCTCCCCTCGTGTCCCTGGGGACACCCAGGGTGTCACCTCCCCCTGCCACCTCCCCTCCTGTCCCTGGGGACACCCAGGGTGTCACCCCCCCTGCCACCTCCCTCTAGTGTCCCTGGGGACACCCAGGTGTCACCACCCCTCTGCCACCTCTGTCACCTCCCCTCATGTCCCTGGGGACACCCAGGGTGTCACCACCCCCTGTCACCTCCCCTCGTGTCCCTGGGGACACCCAGGGTGTCACCACCCCCGTGTGCCCCCCCTGTCACCTCCCCTCGTGTCATTGGGGACACCCAGGGTGTCACCACCCCCTGCCACCTCCCCTCGTGTCCCTGGGGACACCCAGGGTGTCACCCCCTCCTGCCACCTCCCCTCCTGTCCCTGGGGACACCCAGGGTGTCACCACCCTGTCACTCCCTCATGTCATTGGGACACCCAGGTGTCACCTCCCCTCCCTGTGTCCCTGGGGACACCCAGGGTGTCACCACCCCCTGTCACCTCCCCTCCTGTCCCTGGGGACACCCAGGGTGTCACCACCCCCTGCCACCTCCCCTCCTGTCCCTGGGGACACCCAGGGTGTCACCACCCCCTGCCACCTCCCCTTGTGTCCCTGGGGACACCCAGGGTGTCACCACCCCCTGTCACCTCCCCTCCTGTCCCTGGGGACACCCAGGGTGTCACCACCCCCTGCCACCTCCCCTGTGTCCCTGGGGACACCCAGGGTGTCACCACCCCTGCCACCTCCCTCGTGTCATTGGGGACACCTAGGTGTCACCACCCTCTGCCACCTCCTCTCTGTCCCTGGGGACACCCAGGGTGTCACCACCCCCTGCCACCTCCTCGTGTCACTGGGGACACCTAGGGTGTCACCACCCTGTCCCTGCCACCTCCCTCGTGTCCCTGGGGACACCCAGGGTGTCACCTCCCCTGTTGTGCCCCCCTGCCACCTCCCCTCCTGTCCCTGGGGACACCCAGGGTGTCACCACCCCCTGCCACCTCCCCTCGTGTCACTGGGGACACCCAGGGTGTCACCACCCCCTGCCACCTCCCCTCCTGTCCCTGGGGACACCCAGGGTGTCACCACCCCCTGCCACCTCCCCTCCTGTCTGTAGGGACACCCAGGGTGTCACCTCCCCCTGCCACCTCCCCTCGTGTCACTGGGGACACCCAGGGTGTCACCCCCTGCCACCTCCCCTCGTGTCTCTGAGGACACCCAGGTGTCACCCCCTCCTGTCCACCTCCCCTCCTGTCCCTGGGGACACCCAGGGTGTCACCACCCCCTGCCACCTCCCCTCCTGTCCCTGGGGACACCCAGGGTGTCACCACCCCCTCTGCCACCCCCCCTCGTGTCCCTGGGGACACCCAAGCTGTCACCACCCCTGCCACCTCCCCTCGTGTCATTGGGGACACCCAGGGTGTCACCACCCCCTGTCACCTCCCCTCGTGTCCCTGGGGACACCCACAGTGTCACCACCCCCGTGTGCCCCCCCTGTCACCTCCCCTCATGTCATTGGGACACCCAGGTGTCACCACCCTGCCACCTCCCTCGTGTCATTAGGGGACACCCAGGGTGTCACCCACCCCTGTGCCCCCCTGCCACCTCCCCCTGTGTCCCTGGGGACACCCAGGGTGTCACCACCCCTGCCACCTTCCCCTGTGTCCCTGGGGACACCCAGGGTGTCACCCCCTCTGCCACCTCCCCTCCTGTCCCTGGGGACACCCAAGGTGTCACCCCTCCTGTCTCACCTCCCTCCTGTCCCTGGGGACACCCAGAGTGTCACCACCCTGTGTCCCCCTGCCAACTCCCCTCGTGTCATTGGGGACACCCAGGGTGTCACCACCCCCTGTGTCCCCCCTGCCAACTCCCCTCGTGTCATTGGGGACACCCAGGGTGTCACCACCCCCCTGTGTCCCCCCTGTCACCTCCCTTTGTGTCCCTGGGGACACCCAGGGTGTCACCACCCCGGCCACCTCCCCTCCTGTCCCTGGGGTCACCCACGGTGTCACCACCCCCTGTGCCCCCCCTGCCACCTCCCCTCATGTCCCTGGGGACACCCAGGGTGTCACCACCCCCTGTGCCCCCCCCTGCCACCTCCCCTCGTGTCATTGGGGACACCCATGATGTCACCCCCCCTGTCACTTCCCCTCCTGTCCCTGGGGACACCCAGGGTGTCACCCCCTGCCACCTCCCCTCCTGTCCCTGGGGACACCCAGCAGTGTCACCACCCCTGTCACCTCCCCTCTGTCCCTGGGGACACCCAGGTGTCACCTACCCCTGTCACCTCCTTTGTCGTCCCTGGGGACACCCAGGGTGTCACCACCCCCTGTCACCTCCCTCCTGTCCCTGGAGACACCTAGAGTGTCACCACCCTGCCTCCTCTGTGCCCTGGGGACACCCAGGGTGTCACCACCCCTGCCACCTCCCTCAGTGTCATTGGGGACACCCAGGTGTCACCACCCTATCACCTCCCTCCTGTTCATGAGGACACCCAGGTGTCACCACCCCCTGCCACCTCCCCCTGTGTCCCTGGGGACACCCAGGGTGTCACCATCCCCTGCCACCTCCCCTCGTGTCCATGGGGACACCCAGGGTGTCACCTCCCCCGTTTCCCCCTGCCCACCTCCCCTGTGCCCCCTGTCACCTCCCCTCTTGTCCCTGGTGACACCCACGCTGTCCACCCGTGTGCCCCCCCTCTCCTGCCACCCTGCTGCCGTCCCCCTGTTCCCAGAACCCTGGGGACACTGACAGTTGTCCTCCCTCACCCTCTGCCCACCTGCCCCACCTTTTTGAACACCATAGCAGTAACGATTGTCCTCGCTGGTCCCCGGGCGAGAACGACGTCAGCCCGACCACCTCGGCCACGTCAGTGCCTGCAACGACACGGACGTGTCCCCCAGCTGACCCCTGAGGGTCCCCGGCCACCCAGGACCCCCAGCATTCCCAGTATCCCCAGTGTCCCCAACATCCCCCACCAACACATTCCCATGTCCCCAGTGCCCCCTCAGCGTCCCCCAGTGCAAGGAGTACCCCCTGTTGCCCCCTCATTGGCCAAAGCAATCCCCCAGTGCCCTCCCAGTGCCCTCCCAGTGCCCTCCCAGTGTCCCCAACATCCCCCCAGTGTCCTCCCAATGCCTCCCACCACCAATTCCCACGTCCCCAGTACCCCTCAGCGTCCCCAGTGCACTGAGTACCCCCCTATTGACCCCTCATTGGCCAAAGCAATCCCCCCAGTGCCCTCCCAGTGCCCTCCCAGTGTCCTCCCAGTGTCCTCCAGTATCCTCCCAGTGTCCCCAACATCCCCCAGTGTCCTCCCAACATCCCCACCACCAATTCCCACGTCCCCAGTACCCCCTCAGCGTCCCCACTGCAAGGAGTGCCCCCTATTGCCCCCTCATTGGCCAAAGCAATCCCCCCAGTGCCCTCCCAGTGCCCTCCCAGTGCCCTCCCAGTGCCACCAGTGCCCTCCCAGTGTCCCTCCCAGTGTCCCCAACATCCCCCCAGTGTCCTCCCAACATGCCCCCCACCAATTCCCACGTCCCCAGTACCCCCTCAGCGTCCCCAGTGCACGGAGTGCCCCCTATTGCCCCCTCATTGGCCAAAGCAATCCCCAGTGCCCTCCCAGTGCCCTCCCAGTGCCCTCCCAGTGCCCTCCCAGTGCCCTCCCAGTGCCCTCCCAGTGCCCTCCCAGTGCCGCCAGTGCCCTCCCAGTGCCCCCAGTGCTCCCCAGTGCCCTCCCAGTGCCCTCCCAGTGCCCCCAGTGCCCTCCCAGTGCCCTCCCAGTGCCCTCCAGTGCCCTCCCAGTGCCCTCCCAGTGCCGCCAGTGCCCTCCCAGTGCCTCCCAGTGCCCTCCCAGTGCCCCCTCACAGGATGCTCCTCTCGATCTTGTTCATGGGCTGGAAGCGGCGCCGGGGCTCCCCAGTGGCCTGGATGAACTGGGACACCTCCTGCTCCATCTGGGGATGAGGGGGTCAGGAATTTGGGGGTGGGGTGGGGGACACACTCAGGTAACAAGGAGGGGGTGGGGAGGTGCTCACCCTCTTCCTGAACTCGACTTTCTGGCGCTTCTCCTGCTCCTGCAGCTTCTTCACACGAGCGGCTTGTTCTGGGGTGAGGGGGTCAGAGAATTCCACAAGACCCCAAATAAAACCCCTTGAAAGGGGAGAATGTGGGGGCGGGGTCTGAACAGGGGGGGAGGAGCCTGCTGGGTTTGCCCAGCCAATCAGCGAAGCGAGGGGCGTGGCTATCAGAGGAGGGGCGTGGCCAGCCGTGAGGGGATGGCGGAGGGCGGTGAGGGCGAAGGCCGGGACGCACCGCCCTCTTCTCTTCCCTTCCCTTCCTCCCCGCCTTCCCCCCCGCACCTCCCGCCGCTCGCCGCCCTCCCGCTCCCCCCTTTCCGCGGTCCCCGCTGACCCCGCGCCCGCCGCCGGGCCTCGCCGTCGGCGGCCGAGGGCGGCCGCTCCATGGAGCTCAGGATGGAGCCCAGCAGGTCCAGCTCCGCCATCTTGCGACGGGGCGGCGGGGCCACGCCCCCCGCCGTGCTGCGTCACCGCGGGGAGGGGGCGTGGCCTCCTCTAGAATGGGCGTGGTGTAGTAAAAATGGGCGTGTCCTCCATTTAAAGGGGCCGCGTCCCCTCCATTCCCCTCCACCTCCTTCCCAAAAAAGTCTCCCCCTCCCTCCCCCACAAAGCCCCCCAGCCCCCAACCCCGCACACAACCTGTCACGTCTTTTTTATTTTATTTTTTTTTAATTTATTTTTTCCCATTTCCTCGGTTTTTTTTAATGGGACTTTGTACAAACAGCCCACAGGAGGGGCTGGGATGGGGATGGGGAATGGGGCATGCGGGGCAAGGGCAGGTGGGGAGGGGCGTGGGGTGGCTCTGCCTGCCCCTCCCCACGAGCCCCCTGGGGACCCGGACACACTGAAAGCCTTGGGGGTGGCGGGGGGGACACACAGGAGTGAAGCCCCCTGTATCCCCCCGTTGGTGGGGGAGCCCCACGATGCCTGGGGTCCCCGTGGTGGGGTGGGGAGTCACGAGGCCAGGCCCCGCGTCTGTAAACTGTCCACCTCCTTGTTCTGCTTCAGCTCCTCCATCCTGGGGGAGGCAATGTGGGTTTAGGGGCAGGAGGGGTTTAGGGCAGGGTGGGCTCTGCTGAGGGACTCCCTCAGTGCCCCCAGGCTCTCCAGAATTGTCACTGTCCCCCCACCACCCCCCTGTCCCTCTGTGTGTCCCCCCAGGGTGTCCCTGCCGTGTCCCCCCAACCCCGCACCGGTGGCGGCAGCGCCGCAGGAACCTCATGATCTTCCGCGCCGCCTGGTCCTGCTTGAGGGTGAGGAAGGTGCTCCTGGTGAATTAAAAATTAAAAAAAAAAGAAGAGGGAAGGGTAAGGACCCTCCTCTGTCCCTTCATTACCCCCCCAGTGTCCCCATTTCCACCCCCAGGTCCCCCACCGGTGCTGCCGGAGGCTGCGGAAGCGCTGCTGGATGAGCACGGCCGCGCGCCGGCGCCGCTGGAAACGCTTCTGCTCCGCGTAGCTCCGGAACTTGCTCTGGATCAGGATGGCGGCCTGCGTCATCCGCTGGAACAGGGCAAACTGGGAGGGGGGGACAGACACAGAGGGGACAACCCTCAGAGCCTGCGGGGCACGACGGGGTCACGGTGCACCGAATAGGGGTTATAGGGTCACGCCAGGGTCACGCCAGGGTCACCTCAGGGTCACCTCAGGGTCACCTCAGTGTCACAGTGCCCCAAATAGGGGACCCCAATGTCACCTCAGGGTCACCTCAGGGTCACTCAGGGTCACCTCAGGGTCACCTCAGTGTCACAGTGCCCCAAATAGGGGACCCCAATATCACCTCAGTGTCACAGCGCCCCCAATAGGGGTCACAGGGTCACACCAGGGTCACCCCAAGGTCACCTCAGGGTCACAGCGCCCAAAACAGGGGCCACAGGGTCACCTCAGGGTCACCCCAGGGTCACCCCAATGTCACCCCAATGTCACCTCGGTGTCACCCCAGGGTCACAGCGCCCCAAACAGGGACCCCAATGTCACCCCAGTGTCACCCCAGGGTCACCTCAGGGTCACAGCGCCCCGAATAGGGGACCCAGTGTCATCTCAGTGTCACCTCAGTGTCACAGTACCCCAAACAGGGACCCCAATGTCACCCCAGTGTCACCCCAGTGTCACCCCAGTGTCACCCCAGGGTCACAGTGCCCCGAACAGGGGCCACAGGGTCACACCAGGGTCACCCCAGGGTCACCTCAGGGTCACAGCACCCCAAACAGGGACCCCAATGTCACCTCAGTGTCACCCCAGGGTCACCTCAGGGTCACCTCAGGGTCACCTCAGGGTCACAGCACCCCAAACAGGGACCCCAATGTCACCTCAGGGACACCTCAGGGTCACCCCAGGGTCACCTCAGAGTCACACCAGGGTCACCTCAGGGTCACCTCAGGGTCACCCCAGGGTCACCTCAGGGTCACAGTGCCCCGAATAGGGGCCACAGGGTCACCTAAGGGTCACACCAGGGTCACCTCAGGGTCACCTCAGGGTCACAGCACCCCGAATAGGGGCCATAGGGTCACACCAGGGTCACCCCAGGGTCACCTCAGGGTCACCTCAGGGTCACCTCAGTGTCATAGTGCCCTGAACAGGGACCCCAATGTCACCTCAGGGTCACCCCAATGTCACCTCAGGGTCACAGCGCCCCGAATAGGGGACCCAGTGTCATCTCAGGGTCACCTCAGGGTCACCTCAGGGTCATAGCACCCCGAATAGGGGTCACAGGGTCACCTCAGGGTCACCTCTGTGTCACCTCAGTGTCACCTCAGGGTCACAGCGCCCCGAATAGGGGCCCCAGGGTCACCTCAGGGTCACCCCAGGGTCACCTCAGGGTCATAGCACCCCGAATAGGGACCCCAATGTCACCTCAGTGTCACTCCAGTGTCACCCCAGTGTCACCTCAGGGTCACCTCAGGGTCACCTCAGTGTCACAGCGCCCCGAACAGGGTCCCCAGTGTCACCCCAGTGTCACCCCAGGGTCACCTCAGGGTCACAGCACTACAAACAGGGACCCTGGGCTCACCCCGGTGTCACAGCACCCCAAACAGGGGACCCCAATGTCACCTCAGGGTCACCTCAGGGTCACCTCAGGGTCACCCCAGTGTCACCCCAGTGTCACAGTCCCCCAAACAGGGACCCTAGGCTCACCCTGTTGTCACAGGGCCCCCAGGCAAAGACCCCAATATCCAGGTGCTCTCCCAACACCCAGGCACCCCCACCCTGACGTCCCCCCGAACCTGAGGGTACCAAATTGTCCAGACCCCCCCTCCCTTCCAAAACAGCCCCCCAAAATTTGGGGGAGGCCCCCCACAACCCCGTTACCTTCAGAGCAATCCAGGTCAGCTTGTGGGGGCAGAGAGAGAGGCTTTAGGGGGGGCTCTGAGGGAGGGGGGGTTTGGGGTTGCTCAGGAGGGGGTTTTTGGGGTCTCCCCAAAAGTACCTGCTTGTACTTGCGGTAGCAGCGCTGGATGACGGCGGCCGCCAACTCCTGCTGCTCCTTCAGCCTCCGACCCTGGGGAGGGGGAATAAAAGAGGGGGGACACAAAATGGGGGAGGGGGACACAAATGGGGGTGGGGGACACAAAAGGGGGGTCAGCAAGGTCAGAGGGAGTGACTGGGAGGGTCCTGAGGGGGTTTTTGGGGTGTCAGGAGGGGGGTTTGACGCACCCGGTACTTGCGGAAGGCGCCCTGGACGAGGCGCGCGGCCTCGTAGAGCTCGTGCTGCTCCTGCTCGCTGAGGGTCAGCAGGGCCACGGCCCCCTCGCCACGGGAGCCCCCGAGGCGTTCAGGAACTCGGCCCAGCCCACGGCAGACGGCAGGGGGGGAGGGGGAGGCCGCTCAGGGACCCCCAGGGACCCCCGCGGGGCGGGCTCGGCTCTGGGAAGGGGGGACACATGGGAGGGTCAGGGAGACCCCCATGGGGGTATTGGGGGGGTAGAGGATGTGAGAGAGACCCCCCCCCAAACACACAAACACACACCCCAAAAAACCATAACCCAGGGAGATATTGGGGTGTCCCAGAGCGTGGGGGAACCTCCAAAATGAGGATATTGGGGTGTCCCAGAGCGTGGGGGAACCTCCAAAATGAGGATATTGCCAAAATGAGGATATTGGGGTGTCCCAGAGCGAGGGGGAACCTCCAAAATGAGGATATTGGGGTGTCCCAGGAGCGTGGGGGAACCTCCAAAATGAGGATATTGCCAAAATGAGGATATTGGGGTGTCCCAGAGCGAGGGGGAACCTCCAAAATGAGGATATTGGGGGGTCCCAGAGCGTGGGGGAACCTCCAAAATGAGGATATTGGGGTGTCCCAGAGCGTGGGGGAACCTCCAAAATGAGGATATTGGGGTGTCCCAGAGCATGGGGGAACCTCCAAAATGAGGATATTGCCAAAAATGAGGATATTGGGGTGTCCCAGGAGCGAGGGGATCCCACCCCCCACCCCCAAAATGGGATACCCAGGATGTGGGAGATGACCCCTCCCACCACGGGGGCACTGGGTGTAAGGGACCTCCCCCCACACCCCCTCAAAGGGAACATCAGGGGCATCCAAAATCCCAGGGGATGCCCCCCCATGGGGGTACTGGAGGGGTAGAGGATGTGAGAGAGACCCCCCCCACCAAAAAACCATAACCCAGGGAGATATTGGGGTGTCCCAGAGCGTGGGGGAACCTCCAAAATGAGGATATTGGGGTGTCCCAGAGCGTGGGGGAACCTCCAAAATGAGGATATTGCCAAAATGAGGATATTGGGGTGTCCCAGAGAGTGGGGGAACCTCCAAAATGAGGATATTGGGGTGTCCTAGGAGCGATGGGGAACCTCCAAAATGAGGATATTGCCAAAATGAGGATATTGGGGTGTCCCAGAGCTAGGGGAACCTCCAAAATGAGGATATTGGGGTCCCAGGCGGGGAACCTCCAAATGAGGATATTGGGGTGTCCCAGAGCGTGGGGGAACCTCCAAAATGAGGAAT